AAGAATACCGTACCCATTGAACCGCCTCCTAGTACGCACATTTCACATAACGTGGAAAGTAATTCAATAGTTCAAGTGGCTCCAATCGATCATCAACCCGCCTACCATTTTCCACCATATCAGGGATTTTATACTCCCTACAATGGATTCTATTCACCGTATTTTATGAATCCATATCCTCAATTCAATAATATTCCAGGTAATATTTCTATAGTTCATATAATGGCCATTTATTCATAAATGTGTACTATTATATTTCAGAAATGCCGATGCAAAACATGATCCATTCAGTAAATTCACATGGTCGAAAGGACGACGAAAAAAACTCAGTGATTAAACCGTTGATTTAAATCGCAATCATACAATGAATGCTGCGCAGGCTTCTACTCTTTAAATAACTCTCTTTTAATCTTATGCGATAACAATAAATCAGAAATATTGAATGCTTTAAAAAAACTTTATCAGGATATGAATAAAATGGACTTTGATGAATTTCAAATTGACCCGTGTATTTTTAATTTCAATCAAATATCAATTGATTTATTGTTTCTGTTGTTGTTGAAATAGGCTAAACATGTAAATCGAATGTCTCACATTACATACATTATCAATGACATCTTGAATGGATTTAATCGAATATTGACAAAACCTATACGAAACACTTGATTTTTTATCAATAAATAAGACCTTTATTTTAGTTGTTATTTAAATAGAAAATGTCTGAAGACAACTTTATTACTTTATTAATAACGACCATGATAAATATTTTTTTAATAGAAACTTTTCTATTCAGGAAGAACAAAGACAAATGATTTAGTTTTTTTTGTTTTGTTTCGTTTTCATAATGAGAACATGAAATTTTTTTTTGAAACATTTAGTTTTCGGTTTTGTAACCAAGGTCATGGTCAACTGATTGATTGGCAGCGACTTCTTCTTTGATTTCATTCGTGTTCGCTTCTTTATCAACTGCATTTACCACTACATCGACAGTTTTTTCTTCAATCCCGACTGACGGATCATATTTCACCATTTTTGGAGAATTGACTGTCATTCCTATAAAATGCAAAACAAAATTTTCATGCAATAACAAAAAGATCACATTTAAATTGTTTAAAAAAATGTTTTACCTGCAACCAAAGATACCAAATGTGACATTCCAACATCGAGTCCAGTTTCAATCGGAATAACAACAGCAAACGAATCTTCGTCACCTTCTGAATTGAAAAACGAGGCAATAGAATGAAAACAATGCCACATAAACAAATAAATAATAAACAAATTGCTTTTACTGTAATACGGCTTAAAACATAAAAAATATGAAGAAATAACTTACTTTTCCCGCCAATAGCACCATCATTTGTATTAACACTTCGATTGTCGGCGGTCACAAGTTCAGCGACCTTCGTTCCATCACAATTTGAAACGTTACGAACAACGGCATCCGAAGTACTTTCTTTATTGCATGCACCACCGATAACTAAGTGACATTTAAAAAAAAAGAAATTCACGATGAAAATATATGCGTGTACAATTATTGTACTTTTCTGTACGAACAACAAATTTGTAAAAATATACTTACCACCATTATCTTCCTTTTTGATGAAAGTGGTATCGATGTATTCCACGGAATCATCTTCGCTTCGTTCGAGAACTACAGTGTTCACATAAATCACCGAATCGTCATTTTCATCGGGCTGAACAACATCATTTTCAGGGAAAATTGTATTTGAGTCGTTCAAATTTTGTCCACCATCTGATCCACGATCACGACGATAAACTATGATTTCACCCCCCCGATTAAGGATCGCGGTATTACGCGTGAAACGAATCGTATTTACTTGTTGGTTATTCATTTTCTCTCGAAATAATATTTTTTGGATAATTAAATTTAGACACAATGCTTGTCGATGAACACTGAACGAGTGAATGATATGCGAAAATGTGGTAGATTAATATTTGGTGCACACACAGAAACGAAACTGAAAATCGACTTTTACATATGCCTACTTGATTATGTCTATTCTATTGTTTTAAAATCGAAAAGTATGTCACTTTCACGGAGATAGTTTTTATTGACACACAACTGTTAGAACGAAAGAACTTAAAAGAGAAGGCACTGATTTTTTTGTATATTCTCATTTGAGTTCTTTCTAGAGAGATGCGCGTATTGGTGTATATGTTCCTATGTATTGACCGCAAGGCACTCGCCGAATAACGTGTGAATACACAACGTAGAATATATGCCGTCCTTATTCTCTAGAAAGAGTTCTAAAGGAAATGTGAGACACCAAACATTTCATAATATATCGGCGAGAATGAATACGTATAGTCGTACACATACACATTTATAATACATTTATTTTGTTCCGTATTCTCTTTTAAACTATTATATATCGGAGACAGCGATGTGGTCAAGTGAATACGCACACCAATATACACACATTCGTGTGTTTTCGCATTTCTCTAGAAAGAATCCAAAAGAGAAAAAGGGATAACATTTTTTTATATCGTTTCCAATGAGTGTATTGGTCTTGAATTCTCTTCAAAAGTTGAAGAAAAAAAATTCTTGCCTCATTATGAAGACACTCAAATTTAATGTTTATGTTATCAATAAATTGTTTTGATTTAATCCAAATGAAAAAAACAATTTCTTGAATATGACTTTATAAATTGATTATCGGTGTCTCGATTATGAAGGAAGGCATTGTATTCAAAGGCTTAGCCGAGCTGAGTTCTGAAATGTTGCAATACATACTTGATTGCATATCATATGGTTTTGAAACAATACATTTGGCGTTATTATTTTCTTAACATAGTAGTCATCGACGGCAATAAGAAAAAAGATTTTGAGTTTCGTTTGTGTGTGTGCCTTTAACTTATATTTCATAATTTCACGCACTCGTACGAGTCGCACATTGCCGGTTTTGTTGTGAAGTGAGAAACACTTAAATTACTTTTGATCATCGACAAATAGTGTATCTGAATTCAATTAATTCGAAGAAATATAATTTCATAGAAAATGAATAACCAACAAGTAAATACAATTCGTTTCACGAAAAATACAGCCATCCTTAATCGTGGTGGTGAAATTATTGTTTATCGTCGCGATATACAAGCGGAGGGTGAACAAATGATGGACCATTCAAAGCAACACGATGAAAAAAGCGATTCGGTGATTTATATTGATACTGTCGTTCTCACAAATGGTGAACAAATCGAAGATAATTCCGTTGAATATATCAACACTACTTTTATCAAAAAGGAAGATAATGGTGGTAAGTGTATGAGGAGAAACATACAACATACAATTGTACACACATATTTTTTTCATTGCTAATTTTTTTGAAAAAAAAAAAATTCACTTAGCTACCAGTGATACTTCGGATGCCGTTGTTTGTAGCATTCCAGAAGAAGATGAAAAGCAGGCCAACGAAAGTGTTGATAGCTTTGGTGCAGCCGAGAATCTAAATGACAGTACACGCGATACGTAGGTTGCTCCATAATTTTTTTTAAAATGGTACTTATAGTGT